AAGATTATGCTGTAAGTGGAGGGCACTTTCAATACCCAAAATTCCACTTGTTTAGTCATGCTTTCTGCTCTAACTGGGAGGATTATCCTGCCGACTAGCCATTTTGGCATTGAGTTGAACCTGATCAGGGGAGATACGGCGGGTGCCAAGTCTTTGTCCTTCAATTTTAACTGTTTGAAAGTTTCATAGCACATTATCTCGCATGAGCTTCCTTGGTCAATTAAAATTCGCTTGACGTCGTAATCCTTGATGCGGAGAGTGACGATCAGTGCATCATTGTGGGGGCAATATATACTTTCCAAGTCCTTGTCTGAAAAAGACATGACATTCGTGGCCTCTGTTTTCCCCTTTTTAATGGTGGGCTGCGCACTTAATACCTCCTTTATGTGCTCAGCCTTCTTTATCATGCCTCTGAGCTCACATACTCGCTCAGGCTCGAATACCCCATGTATTACACTTATCACGCCTTGAGGTGGGGCGTCGTTCGGTGTTCCGTCTGGGTGGTCGTGGTTTTGGGGGGCTGGCTGCGTCCCTCCTTCTATGTATCGGTCCAGGTGACTAGCTGCCACTAATTCCTCCAGATGCTGTCTCAACGGCATGCAGTTTTTAGTGCGGTGCCCCTTTTCCTTATGGAAGGTGCACCGAGGTCTTTCGTCGTAGTCCTTCTGTGCTTCTCCCAATTTAGTTGGCCATTTGACAAAAGGTTCATCGCGTATCTCACTGAGAATCCAGTAGATTGGTTTCTTGAATACCGTGGTAATGGCAGTGCGGACTCTCGACCATCTTTTATCTCGGTCCTCTTTTTGTCTCGCCTGCCTTGTCCATTCTTGTTTTGATGTTCTACCGTATTGACCTTCGCTGTAGTCTCCTTGTCTGGTGTTGCTATTGCACCAAATTTCGCCTTGGCACGGGCCCCATCCTCCTTCACCCGAATATGTTAGTGCACCCTTTCCATCACGGCTTCCATTGTGAGGGGTAGAGTCATAATAATCGAATCCCTTAATTTGTTTCCGACTGGAAGTCCTCTTTTGTATTGTGCGATGGCGAGATTGGTGGGGCAGTACCCTATCTGGTTGAACGTCTCCCAGTAACGACTATTATAGGATCTCAATGCTTCTTTGTCGCCCATGTCAATGGAGAGTAACTGATCAATCTCCACTGGCGTCTTGGTGTTCATTCTGAATCTTGTCACGAACGCCTCCGCTAATTGCGCCCAGGAGGCTATGCTGCCTTCTGGTAGCCTTTTGAACCAGGTTAAACCTAGGTCGCCAAGGCTGGATGGGAATAGTATACTGCCATGACTTGGCAAAAGTGGCTTAGGTGCATGTAAGGGTCTGTCTTCCCTTCGTACGTGGTAAATTTAGGCTGGATGAAGCTTGAGGGAAATGGTGCATTCTAAATCACCGGAACGAACGACGAACTATGTAATCTTGCCAATGCTTTATCCGTTGGTTCGTAGGCAAGGTGCGGTATTGGCATTCCAACCTTGACACTTCCATGCGTCCGAGGAGCCAACCGCTGAAGGGTTGAAACTCTATGTTGGTCGCGTGCCCTGGCATCCTTCTTCTGTCGTGCTCTTTCTTCAAGCACAGTCCATAAGTCGGACGATCTAGGCAACTCCGTTTGCCTGGATGATGTCTGGTGCGTATGTGAGAGCCGATAGGTACTTCTCTCAGAGTAACACCTCAATGATCTCGTTCTCTCAGACCTAGAGTAACGAGTTCTGGAAGTCCTTGATTGAGTGTCGCCTGTACTGAGGCTTCCACTCTCTGCTTGCGATGGCGTGGTATGCCTACCACGATCTTCTGAGTGGCAAGGAGGCGTATTGCCTTTACGCCTCTCTCCTGTCACCCCCCATTTTCCCTTGATCTGGCGCTTCATGGCCTCCATGTCCGCCGCCATCTTCCTTATTAGTTCATCTTGTTCTTTTACGCGATCCTCCAAAGCTTGAGGGTCGATTCTTCGCCTTTGCCTTTCAGGACTTTGTGAGCGAGAGCGACGGGGGCTGTTGTTTTGCCTCCCCCTTGAATCCCTCCGAGGATTCTATCGCTGGGGCTCTAAGTCCGCCATGGGAGGGATAGAGGGCAATCCTTCGCGCCTCCCACCCCCCTCTGGGGTTTGTCCGTCGATGGCGGACTGTGGCAAATCTTCGTTGTGCGTCATTCAACTAGCGAGGGAAACTTGATCAAGAGGTTTTGTTCTTTGTCTGGTATTTCCACAGACGGCGCCAATTGTATGGGAAAGAAATAAACCTTCTCGTATAATCCTGTTGATCAAGTCTGCGCTCCTCTGTATGACTTCACTTTACTCCCTGAAAATACAAATGTGAGTTAGCCGGTGGGTGAATGCTGGATACCTCTCCGATGCCTAAGTCAGCAAAATAGACAAATAGACAAATGCTCTGTGTATTCGAGAATCAAAGCTGTGTTACCTCTCCATAGGTGATGTTACAAGCTTTTATAGGTTCCGTGTGCACAATCCTAGTAGGACTCTTACTCCTCCATGTAGAATCCTCCTAGGAATCATATTCCTGAAAGATAATGCTTAGCCTTCAACACCCCCCTCACTACTTAAACCAAGTGAGATGGTTTTACCTAGATCGGATGTCTATACGACCGGGATAACATGGCCGTGCTAAAGCCGCAGAATAGACCGAGCTCCACCTAGCTCGGTTATTCCTTTCACTACGTGTACCTTGGTTTCTTCTGTACGAACCATAATAATCCATAATGTGCTTAGGCCGCAGTAACGAATGGCTAGGTTTGACCGAGCTAACTGCATTATGCCATGACTGGGCTAATTCTGAGTGTAGTGACCGGGCTATCTGCAAATCTCTCCTGGACCGGGATAACAATAAGGCTTTCTAGGACCGGGCTAACGCCAAGACCCTTTTACTCCGCCCTTCTTACTGTGGCCCACAACGGCCCATTACCCAGCTCGGCCCAATTTATATATGAATTACCCTCTCATCTATCCTCTTCCTTATCAATTTCTCCATTCTTTTGCTTCTGAAGATAGTGGCCAGTTATCCCCAGGGGTTTATTGAATGAAAGGTTTGGCATGTTGGCTCAAATTGGTTTCTAAGGATTTTTTAGTGTAGAGAAAGAAACGTTAAACTAAAATAATACAAAAATAGCCTAAATCATTACCTAGAATTGGGCATAAATTTTCAACTTTCATGATTTTTAGAAGGTGTAAATACAACGTGATTTCGTAACATTCAACGAAAAGGAAAAATATGAGATTGAACAACGAAATAGTGCGCTTCCAAATGAATAGTTAAGAGTAAATGGGTAAATTACCCTTTGCACCCCTGCACTTTACATCAAATCCCACTTTGGCCCCTACACATCAAATTGTGACACTTAACCCCCTGCACTTTTGGTCAAGTGTCACTTTGGCCCTTTTGTTAGTCGCATTGTTAACAGAGGTTAGTCACTTGAAAAACATGTGAGGATAAATTACACTTTGCACCCCTGCACTTTACACAAAATCTAACTTTAGTCCCTACATATCAAAATTGTGACACTTAGCTCCCTAAAGGATAACTTTTGTTAGCCTCACTATTAACAGAAGGGCCAATGCGACACTTGACCAAAAGTGCAGCGGGTTAAGTGATACAATTTGATGTGTAGGGACTAAAGTGAGATTTTGTGTAAAGTGCAGGGGTGCAAAGTGTAATTTATCCAGAGTAAATCTAATAACCCTCCAAAAAAAATGATAGGCTCAAAATCTCACACGGGTTATAATGTCTCTACGTTAGTCATTAAGATTTCAAGTCTAAATTCAAAATATAATCAAAGAATATTTAAGCAGCTATGTGCATGTGCAAATTATTCGAATACGAGACAGAAAATTATTTTTAATCAAAAGATAGTATAGTAAACTAAGATATAATTAAATTGCTAAGATAACAAAATTAACAATTAATTGCAAAACTTATTTTATTTTATTTTATTTTATTTTGTAACGCCATGCACACAACACAATTTTTTTTTTAATTTAAATTTTTTTTTTTGAAAACCAAACAGCACAAAGATATATGTATGTATGTATGTATATATATATATATATATATATATCAAAACACAACTAAAAAAAACACACAATAAACCCTTTTCCCCCAACTTAAATGATATTGTCTCGAATGGCACATAGACTGACAAGAATAGTGAATGGAAGGAAAACACGACAAATAAAAATTGGTCTTTTATCGTCAGATTCTAATATGTTTTAGGGCTAAAAATGTTATCCTCCTTTATAGCCCGTCTCAGACCAAATTTCTTTGGTCTTACTTAGCGGTTCCTTTTAAAGGTGTACTCATCTGTCTTGTCCTGACAAAATACTGAAAACATATAAAACAAAACAAAACAAAATACACTAATCTATTTTACATGGGTGCAGCAACTCCACTTTTTCCGCTTCTTTTGATTTATGAGATATGGGTCATCCTAGCATAAATTATTTGACCCGTTCAACAGTTTTGGACTAGGTTTTATATGACTTTGAGGAAAATGATTATCAAAATGGAGAAATATGTGGGTGAAAAGTATAGTGTGTAAAGAAATCTCATGGGTGGTCATAGTAAAATCAAAGCCAAAAATAAAATCCAACCCAAGTTGATCTGTCACATCATTACACTTCTCGATTGGTAAATCTCCTTTGGTTTGGTCCAGATGAAAGTTCGTGTGTCTATGGAGAGAGTTTCTATCAAATCTATGGGTGTAACAGTAGGTTCAAGTGACAAAAATTCTAACTCCATATCAAGTGTTTAATCAATGGATAAAGGTGATGTGGTTGCATCAGGTTCAATTGGCAACTCTTTTTCAAAAATCCCACAGTGAGCACTCATATGAAAATTTTGAACAAGTTGATCAAAAGAAATCCATACCTCTTCAAGGAACATTTCAAAATGGTCACTTGTCCACATTGTGCCTGCAAAATGTTGCGTAGGAGAATTCAACCCATCACGAAGTAAAGCAATGAGTTGAGTCATTGTGTACCCATGTTGAGGACAAGCGGTTAGATAGCTCCTGCATCGTTCCCAAGATTGATAAAATAACTCATTCTCTTTTTGATAAAAATTTACAATTTGGCGTTTGAGAAGAATGAGTTCAGAGGAGGTTGTAATTCTTTCCATTTAAAATAAGTCGACACCAATATCCCTTGATCTTCATTAAATGAAAAATAAGGACCAGAAAAATCATTTCCAAAGTAAGCAATTTTCAATTTTTTTTATTTATTTATTATTTTTTTTTATTTTTTAAAATAGAAGAAAACATCTGCAAATTAGTACAAAAAAAATATGTACAACATGTTGGGAGTCGTAAACTACCCTTTAAGGAAAATTAAATTGTGGTAAGTAAATTACGATAAAGAAAATGCGATAAAAAAAGAAACAATAATAATACTAATAATAAAATTATTCCTTTACAGTAGTCCAAATATCATTTGTCCAACACAGGTAATGATAATTTTCCAATGTCAAGGTATAATTTTTTATTTTTACGTTTTTTTATTTTTCTTAGTTCACCTGCATAAGACAATCTGCACACCAGAAGAGAAAAAAAAAAAAAAACTTCGTAACACCGGCACAAGAAAAAATAAAAAAAGAATATATACAAAAAATTTAAAAAATGAATTACAAAAGAATTACCTCTGAATCGAAAAACTTACCTTTAGTCCTCGACAACAGTGCCAAAATATGATATGATCATGTGTATACCAAAATATTATATTTAAAACCAAGTACTAACAACTACTATGTAGAACAACGGTTAAGACCAGGTGTCAATCCTCAGGGACTAGTTGAGTTGTTTTGTGTTTTCAATTGAAAAAGAATTTAGATATTTTGTTGTGTTTTCAATTTGGAAATCCCTTTATCAAATTGCAAGTGTTGATATTGGGTATTTTTGTATGAAAAATATAAGACTTAATTTTGTCATTTAAAAAAAATCAAATTAAATAGTTGTTAAATAAAAAAAAGTAATGAAATAGTTTTGATAATACATAGTTTTCTTATATGTATTTATTATTAGTATTTGACAATTTTCTTGATAACCTTTTGATTATGTTGAGTTGGATTGTTATCCCAAAAAAAAAAATGTTGACAAGTTGTTGTATTATGTTCAAAATTTGTAAAAATTTAAACAGCTAAATCGATTACATCCATCATTCAATCTGCTCAATTTGCATCTGCCAATCCAGCGGACAGATGCGGATTGATTTTTTTCAATCTGTCAATCCGGCAGATGGATGGGGGATTAGAAGTTTTCCAGTCACAATGTAACCGCAAGCACTCCTAATACGTAACCAAATTTACCATGCTCACATCAAGTCTGCATTTATAGAATAATTTATAACAAAGTAGTGAATTCAAATAATATTCCTTGACAATGAAATATACTTATGTAACCTGAGCTCTCTGCAAGCTATAACTTCATATTCTTAGCTAATTTCCTCACACAGATAAAATTTGCATTTAATTAGAATAATTCATAGCTAGATAGTAAATTCCAATAATACTCTTTAATAATGAAATATAACTAGGAGAGTTTGGTTTTGCTGCAGTAAACAGTAGTGCTGTTGGTACTGTTGATGGGTTGACTAGCCATGTAGTAGAGGTTTACCACATTCAAAACATTGCATTTTAACAGAGTTTAGGCCACGTTTGTTTCTTTCGCCCATAGGATTGAGGGGATTAAAAGTTTGTAAAATTGAGTGAGGAGATTATATTAGTGTGCTGGTATTAGGTTGAAGATATAGGATAAAGATGTTTGTTTGTACACTATCGGATTAATAATACTATAGATAGTGCTATTATATAAAATTATTTTTTACAATTTTTAGTATTTTTTTAATATTATAATTATTTTTTATTATAAAAAATATAATTTTTGCTTAAAAATTATTTAAAAATTCAGTAATCCCCTCATTTAATTTCTAATCCCAACTCTCCCATGACTTTGTTAGTCCTACCACATGAGAAGATTACTAGTCTAAGGAAATATTTAATTCCCTATCTCATTTTCCAAACTAAACACTCGTTAGATGAGTCTTACATACTATTAGTCTAATCCTCCCTTAAAGATCCAAATAAACATGACCTTAGTGCTTCTTTCCATTTCACTCTCTTCGTTTTCCACTTTCCATGTTTAACTTTCTTTCACTCTCTTCGTTTTCCACTTTTCATGTTTAATTTTTTTTTTTTTGAATTACACTGACACTACCCTAAAAGGTATGTAAAAAAAATAAAAATATATTAAAAAAATAATTAATATTATAAAAATTTTCATTAATATAAAATAATTTTTTAAAATTTAGGAGTTGTTTAGGGTTTGTTTATTTAATGCAGTTTTTAACTTTTTATAAAAAAGATGTACATAAAAATATAGAGGTGATATGACCCAAATATATACACTTACCAATAAGTGCATTTATTTAGATCATCTCCAAACAACCCCTTACACTTTATAATAATTTCTCCTTTTTTTTTTCCACTCTTTCTCTCTAAGATGATCTCTAACTATTTTTATTTTAATAAATTACATTGATAATTCTTATCTTTTACTCGTTATATTATTTTGGTCCTTGTATTTTTAATTAGTTTAATTTTGATCATTAATTTTAAAATTTATGTCTATTTAATATAATTGATAGCGTCGGCTAGAATTTAAAAAAAAAAAACAATAATTGGGTTGGTTGAGATTAACTCACAAAATTTAAAAAATTTACAATTTTACTAATAAAAGCCTAATACATATATACTGCTTATGTGTTTATTTTTCATTAAAAATATTAATAATTATAATTAATTAGATCAAATTGAAACAAAATAAAAAATTTAACATCAAAATTAAGCTAATTAAAATTATAGAGACTAAATAACACAAGAATCAAAATTAAAAAAAAAATATTAGTGTAATTTATTTACCCTTCTTTTTTTCTTCTTGTTTTTTTTTTTTTTTCAATCTCTCTAATAGTTAACTCTCTCTTGCTTTTTATATGCAACATTTGAATATTACTGTGTTCTAATATATACATATATGTATGTATATACACAAATATAGCTGTGAAAAAGATATAAGTGTGATCCCACCATTACCCTTCTCATCCTTCATCTATTCTCTATATTTCTCTCTTAAATGTTATTTTATAACTTTAACATTCACTATGTGCACAATATATACATACTTGTATTTTTAATTATTTAATTTTGATCATTAATTTTAAAATTTATGTCTATTTAATATAATTGATAGCGTCGGCTAGAATTTAAAAAAAAAAACAATAATTGGGTTGGTTGAGATTAACTCACAAAATTTAAAAAATTTACAATTTTACTAATAAAAGCCTAATACATATATACTGCTTATGTGTTTATTTTTCATTAAAAATATTAATAATTATAATTAATTAGATCAAATTGAAACAAAATAAAAAATTTAACATCAAAATTAAGCTAATTAAAATTATAGAGACTAAATAACAAAAGAATCAAAATTAAAAAAAAAATATTAGTGTAATTTATTTACCCTTCTTTTTTTCTTCTTGTTTTTTTTTCTTCAATCTCTCTAACAGTTAACTCTCTCTTGCTTTTTATATGCAACATTTGAATATTACTGTGTTCTAATATATACATATATGTATGTATATACACAAATATAGCTGTGAAAAAGATATAAGTGTGATCCCACCATTACCCTTCTCATCCTTGATCTATTCTCTATATTTCTCTCTTAAATGTTATTTTATAACTTTAACATTCACTATGTGCACAATATATTCATACATATATATATATATATATATATATAAGGTTCAAAGCTGTGTATTTCATGAGTGAGCAAGAGAAGATAGAAAAATATTAAAGAAGGTGAAAAAGGAAAGACATCAAAAAAAAAATTTAAAAAAAAGGAAAGAATGGATCTGAAACATTAAAGAGAAAACTGAAGAGTTGAAAACGCCTCCGCTAAGTTTAAATGTTACCCATGATCACCTTCTTTTTCTAATCTCCCTCTCTCCTCTGATTTAATGGTCCCCCCACACTCTCTCTCTCTCTCTCTCTCTGTATTATTCACAGAGATGTCAGTTGCAGCAACATGTTCATCAATGGCAGTGTGTATAGCGTAGAGGGCGAAGGTCTACTTGTGGCGGACCTAGTAGACTATGCCGCCGTTGCCATGGTCAAGGGCCTAGAGTTTTTCTAGATCGACAGCAGTGATTGAGAAGGGGAGGAGTGGAAAGTTTGAGGTGCTGGTGGGAGGGGTAAGGGGAAGCGTGGGCGATTGTCTAAGGGAGCTTGAGATTGAGGTGGCAGCAGTTGCAGACAACTGCCATGGAATAAACCTGCTTGCTTGGCGGGGTTGTTGTGAAAACAAATCTCTGTACTTACACCACGGGATTCTTATTTCGGTAGCCCAGCAATATTAAATATTTGTTGCAAATATTGAACAAGATCATTGCGTCAAAGATGATCAAACTCTGTTTACCAAATCCGCAGTTGATAATTCTCTTATTTTACTTTCACCGTGTCTTCAGCGGTGGACTAAGCATAGAGATAACTTTCGAAGGCTAGGTTTAGGGGATTTCCTCTAACAAGGGCTAATCCTGTGGTGCAAGTGGAGATAATTACTTTCACACATGATGACGTGGCAACATATTAGCAATGGGATAGGGGATCCAAGCCGAAAAGGATATACTTGCATGAAGATAGTCAGGTTGATAAGGTATAGGAATAGGTCCCCTAACAAGGGCTAATCCTGTGGTGCAAGTAGAGATAATTACTTTCACACATGATGACGTGGCAACATATTAGCAATGGGACAGGGGATCCAAGCCGAAAAGGATATACTTGCATGAAGACAGTCAGGTTGATAAGGTATAGGAATACGGATAGCAGGAGGCCCATTATTAGGGTGCTAATAGTCCACCCTAGTCTACCCTCTTAACTGCTTTAGAAGCTCGTGGTGAGATAGGTTGAGTGTATTTTTCTTGTTTTTAATGTGAGAAGGTTTTCTCATCCCTTCCAGCCTTAATAGTTTCGAAAATTGGTGGTGTCGGGTGATTCAAGAAGTTGATTAAAAGTTAATTTTTTAATTTTTTGAC